TTGTACACCCATTTGTGTGTTTATCCGCGGTATCCTTACGCGGCACATTTCGAGTCACCTTGTGATGTGTAGGCTACACGTCAATGAGTACACTCACAGCCTGTATCATGTATTATCGGCTGGAATCCCCACCCGCGGAAATCGCTATTGCACGTTACATCTCAGTCATGAAATTATGCTCTCGGTTTGAATCCTTGATACACTAAATCTACTCGATCTTATTCCCTTTTCTCTTTCCTGTGTAGATGAGCTGCTCCTGTTTTGTCTCGACCGAAATAGTACAATCTATGTGACCTGTAAGAGTAATTATTTACTAACCCTCTCTCAGTTAGATCGCCCCAAGATATTGAGGATACAGTGACATTTCATAATATCTTATTGCGTTACGCCTAGCACTTCGTTAAACACTTAACGTCGCCCCAAGTAGGCTATTCCTCGTCTTTGCTGAGACGCGCGCTAGACGACAAACGATAAGCGGTCCTTTGATACTCGGAACTCTGCTGCGTGCAATGCATAACAATAATAGCGTCAACCGTAGAATATCCTGTGAATATTATCAGCACAGTACATTCAAGAAATTATCAAGATTTTTTGATCAGCGACAGTCTATAGATTCTTTAGTATCTTCTCTAATAAAATAAGAAACGTAGAGAAATAAGGCGTATCTATGAGTGCAAAAGAGATGAGAGAAAAAGAATACAGAAACATACGGAAGAAGAGAAATAGAGAGGAGAAGAGAGAGAGAGGGAAAGAGAAGAGAAGGAGAGAGAGAGAGAATTACGTACTGCATCGCAGATTAATTAGTTAACCTGCAAGTGCGTTTAAAACGCAACTTTCAGAAGGTGTGTAAACTCCCCATGCTAGAGACAATGGTGCCAGGTCAGTTTGATGTTTAGATTGACATGGTCTGGCTCACACGGTAAGAATGATCATACCCGCGACACAATACGAACTAACATGTCGGCGAATGAAATGGAAATTACCATGTTGAATTACTCGTCTCAATTGGTTGTGAGTTGTTTATAACTCGGAACTTTCAGTGCCCATGTTACTACTATAACGGCAGAAGTATACATTCACAACAGATAATAGAGATTTCCCATATCGCAGCCAGAACGTCGCTTGTCATAGCATTTACTTATATCTATGATTTAGTGACCAATATCACACTATAAACTATGAATATAACCTAACTATATATATATTATATTAAATATATTAGTGTGTTATATATTAATTATATATATGTATATTTTGTTATACAATAGTTTGCTTTTTAATAATCTGATTATGTTTGCGTCGTAATTTATAAGTTGTGTATTTATTTTAGCTGTATTTGCGTTGAGATTCTAAGTAATAAGTAATAACTTACTGAGAGATACATGAGGGAACACCTTGTTGCTACATAAACCGAGAAGAATGTTTCCATCCTACGGAATATGAAATTTCAACTTAAACTGCGAACCACGATTACAATATTTAATTCTTTTCTTCGAATGTCGAATAGCTCCACGAATTTCGGATGTTTATTATTGAAATAAATGGTTCGTTCGTAGACAATAAACGTACTGACACGCGATTAAAATGGTATTTGTATTTGTAGAGCGCCCGACCTTGGTTTATTAGATCGTATCCGGGTATTTAGGTCGTAGAAAATAAGTCATAGTTGCTTAAAATGGTATCTATGAATGAGGTGTATCCATAGTATACAATAAATATGATTATCCCGCATTTTACTTTAAGATTATAATTTAATAATAATAACGTTTAATATTATTATTAATCTAATCTTCCATTTTTTTTCATACGATCAAAAATATCGGGCCCGTACAACGCTGGCAGGCTTAAGCATTAATCTGTGTCGCCGACCCTGCTATAATCCTTAGGTTAAAACGCTAATTCTATTTAACCTCCAGCATCAATCCCCGTGTGCTCGTATTGTGTATCTATTGTACATTTCCCAGTTCATACGACTTCCCCAGGGTGCCAGCCTTGAAAACCTCTCAGCAGAAGATCACTCTCGCGGTTCACTTGCCACCTTTTAATCTCACCAATACAGCTGAACCACAGACCTCATACCTGCTGATAGTTCCTTACTGGAAAAATTAGTTGTACATAATAAATAATGTTCGATTCTGGTGGCGTTAAAACTGACTAGTTCTCCTTCATACCTCACTAACATATCGAGCATACGCATGTACACCAAGTATACCCAATGTCCTATCAGCGGAGAAGTATATCAGTATGTTAGACACCAAGGTATTCGCTACACCAAGTATACCGCCCTGGTGCCACCAAGCTACAACATGGATGTATACACCCTGTATACCTTTCGTAGAAGACAGGTTATTCGAGCATACGCCATGTACACCAAGTATA